AGTGAGTGGATAAGCTAGGATTCAAATCCAGGCAGCCTGGCCTCAGAGTTGTATGCTTCTCTGGTGACCACAATGTACCAGCCCAGAGACATGATGAAGCCTGGATGGGGTCCAAAGTGGGTACCCCCCCACACATCCCACCAAATCCAATTCTGCCCTCCAAGAGCCCAGCCAATGTAAACTGAAACCGCATGGTCACACGGCAAGTGGCCCAGCAGGTATCATGTGCCAGGGCTGAAGCCACTTCAGCAATAACCTGTGGGGACCAGCAACCACCCCTCTTTCCAGCCCCAGTGTACCCTCATCACATCTACCACTCACCATAGTAAAATGGATCAGGTTCCTGAGGAACTGTGGCAAGGAAGACAGGAAAAGAGAGAGAGGGAAAACACATTTCAACACTGGGTTTCTTAACATTTTTGAGACTCCAGATGGGGCCACTGGCCCAATGTTTTCTGGGTAGAAATCAGATAAAGATGTCCTTTGATCTGAATGATACAGCCTCATGCATGGCAAGACACAAGTCTTGAAGCGTGGAGCATAGGCTGGATTCCAGTCCCCACTCACACCATTAGTCAGTACCTTCCCTTGTAAGGTGCACAACCCACCAAACTGTACATGGCACTCCTGGAACTAGCCTCCTGTGGAGATCTGAGGCAAGCTACGGACTCACTTCCTGAAAAACACATACACCTATCATTTGCATATGATGCTGGAATTAACACACTTCAATCCCACTGATAAACTGTTGAGTGTATCAGCTTCCCCTGAATACTCCCTAAAACTTCTCAGTTATTTGACAGCTCCCAAAAAATTAGGCACTGTGGCTACTATTCTCATCCACTCGCTCCTGCCACTGAATCCAATGCAGAAGAATTGTCCTATAAAATACCCTATATTATATTACATATAATATATATTTTATGACTTATTTCTAAGACATCAATTTTAAGATTCAAAATTGATTTCATAATAGCTTTCTCAGTGTGTGTGTGTATGTGTGAATATGTATGGAACTCTACCATACAAAACATACCCAACCATTAGAAGACTCATCCTAATTTCAGAAATGTTAATGTGTGAATAAAATGTGTGTGTGTGTTTACTTTTCCCCATCCCCCACCTCCCTGTCCCAAACCATATTCACCTTAGCTCAGACCACACTTCCCATTCAAAAAGCCCATCTTGATGGCTCCCTCATTCCTGACAGCTCTCAGGACATTTTATCTTGTCTAGAGCTGAATTCTGCAGAGCATGCATCACTAGCTGAGGGGAACCAGGAATGTGAGGCCAATGCTAGGTACAGTCATCAGTTTTCTCTTCCAGGCTTGGGGAAGGATGGCAGCTTCCTTGAGGCTGGGGGTGGGGTGGGGTGGGGAGACCATGTGACTAATTCTGGCCAATGAACTGTGAGTGGAAGCATCAAGTGACTTCCAGGCTGGAGCATTTAAATGTTCTTACAAGAGCTCCCTTTGCCTGTTGCCCCTGTGTTGCGAAGTTTTCTCTCGTGAACAGAGACACCCCCCGGGTGAACCTGCAATGGACGTATGGTGTAAGTGAAACTTCAACCTTGATTGTCAGAAGCCCCTGGGATTTTTGATACAATCTTTACTATGGCACTCTCTAGCCTAAACTGACGCATACAGATGACACCCAGGCAAGACTCGGAATAGCACCATTTCTCATGATGTGTCAGTTTCTCCTTCTTAGTGCCCTGTCAGATCTCCAAGGAGGAAGTCTTAGGTAGGTGTGGAGGTGTCTTTAACACCTTCTGCCTTGCTAAGCTCCCTCTTTTCCCATGAGGACACCGTCCTTGGGCTCCCAGCCTTGAGCAGGCAGTGATAACTCTATAGAATTTTGTGACATTATCTGGTTTTCTCCTTTATTTACCTATCCAACCAGCATTTGATAGCACTGACTGCATGCCGGGTTCTGTTCTAAGCACTTCACAGGTGTTAACACACTTCCATCTACACAGCTCCTCCCTGATACGGGTGCTGTCTTCACCCTTACTCCACACAGAAGGACACTGAGGCCCAGAAACATGGAGCCACTTGTTAAAAATCATGTTTATACTTGCCTTTAAGGCAAAAAAAAAAAAAAAAAAAAAAAAAGGAAAAAGAAAAGTCCTGATTTTCCATTTGTGATGGTGATATAAAATGAAGCTAATTAATTAAGCTTTGTCAAAAACGAATCCTTTAAAGGGAAAATAGTAAATGTGAGTGTGGAGAACATCTGGATAAGGCAAAAATCGTCCTTGAGAGCATCAAGACAGGGAAACATTATTTTAGAGTCGCATGTGCTGTCTTCGCTCCCCCACCAGATGGGGAGGAAGTTTGCTTGACTCCTCTGCCATTAATCCTGACATTTATAAAAGTCAGGCTTTTGAGAGAACTTTCTAAGAACTTTTCTGGAATGAATGAAAGAAACAATGCACACATGAGTGGGTGAGTGGGTGAATGAATGAATGAATGAATGAAAGCCCCCACTAGGCTGCAGGAAGCCCCATCAGAGGTGGAGCGTTGGATTAGACTACTTTGTCTCCTGGGTTGCCAAATAGCCCACCTTCCCAAACCATCAGGAGCCCACGGTGGGGGGGAGCACCTGGTCCAGAATCCTCTTTAGTTCATCCTGGGTGCCCCAGGCTCTATGCAGAAGTCCCTCTTCTGGTCCCTGCCGCCCCAGGAATCTGGTTCCTCACGGGGAGACTGGGCTAAGGGTGGAGCCAGGAGGCAAGAGAAGAAATGTGCACCACTCCTGGCCAGTTGCCAGGGAGACATCAGGAAGGAGGTGGTTGCTATGGCAACTGGGGCATCTTCAGAGGTGAAGAGAGGTAATGGGTCCCGGCACCCTAGGCTGGGTGGGGTCCTGGGGGTTAGGTGTCTAATTCTGGGGCCAATCTTGGCTCCGTCTGCTCCCTTTGTATCTCTCAGTGTTGCCCTGCAGGGTTGGCTTCTGGCCAAGCCGAGGGTCCTTCTCAAGGATAGGGACCCAGGCCCACAGGTTGTGCTCCTGCATCCCTTTTCTGTTTGCCCCCATCTATCCCTCTTGCTTTCTGACAGAGTGGGAGAGGCCTCATTTCCCTCCCCCATACTTCCCCCCCACAAGTGATCCATTAATCAGTTTAAGTGGTGCAACACACAACATGCTCTTCTTCCCCCCTCCCCCGGGGTTTCCCAAGACCTGCGGTCCCCTCTTCTGCTGTGACTGGGGAAAAGGAGGGGGTGGGGCTGAGGCGTCTGTCCTCCCACCTCGGCCCGTCTGCTGCCATCGATCCTGTTAACCACCATCTCTGCGAAAAGAAGCCCTGGGCTCCCGCCAGGCCCGCTGGCTCAGCCCTGCCCCCTCTCCCTAGGGTGGGTTCCACCCTCTCCCCCCCCCCCCCCCCCCGCCCTGCTTCAAATTCTGCAGATATGGCTCGGTGCAGCAGCCCCTGCCTGCCGGGAAAGGGGGCAGGGAAGGCGAAATCAGAGTGGAACTGGGGTTCCCTTCACCACCAGGGGCTCCTCAGCACCACTGGCCCATCCCCTCTGGCCCTGCTCTCAGTGCTGGAAACCCCACCCCCACCCCCATTAGAGCATTCTTCCCCTGGTTCCTCTGCAGAGACAACCTCAAGAAAGGGGGCTGTTAGGGGGCAGCGAGTGTTTAAGTGGGCGCATAACTGGGTTAAGGGGCGTGAGATGTAAATCGCGCCGCGGCTGGATGGGGGTAAAGAAGGGACATCTGTGTGCACACCTGAGTGCACCTCCCGGACCAGATAACACCCCTGCATGCTGGCTGGAAAGGAGGGTCCCGCCATCCATTCCTGCCCAAGGGGGGGGCTCACCGCAGTGGCTCGGCCCCACCCCACGCTGCTCCTCCTGCTATCTCTCTCCCGCGCTGTGGGTCCATCTCTCCTCCTCCTCTGTCTTTCTCTATGCCTCTCTTTTTGTCTCTGATTTTCTGTCTCTCTGCATCCTTTTCTGTTGCTCTCCGCCTTCCCCTTCACTCTCAATCTATTTCGGCATCTTATCTGTCTTCCCCCAGGTCTCCCTCTGTGTCTCTGACTCTGGGTCCCCTGTCTCGCTCTCTCTCTCTTTCAGGCTTTCAATTGTTCACATTCTTTTCCATCTCCCTCTCTCTTCCGTCTCTTTCCATCTCTCTCTCACTTCCTCCAGCTCTCTACCCCCTGTCTTTCCGTCCTTCTCCCTCCTTCCCGCGGAATCTGCCTGTCAGGGATTTCTGGAGACACCCACCATAAGAGCCCGCGCTGGAAAAGAGAGGCATATGCCTCCCCCCCCTTGCCCATCTTGGAGACCCCGAAATTTGCGAGAGCCCCTGTGGTCGCAGACCCATCCGTTCCCACCCTCGAAGCCCGTCTCTTCGCGTCCACTACCGCCGCTGTGCAGGACCAGCCGCCCGGTTGCCATAGCTACCGGTCAGCGCATCCTTTCTCCCGGGACTGCCGCTCTCCAACCGCGGGTCCCGCACAGGAACGACACCACCGGGAGGGGGTGTCCACGAGGCCTGGAGGGGCGCCAAGGGGTGCACTGCAGGGGCCTCCGCCCATGGAAGGAACAGACATCCCCTTCCCCATTCCCTTCCCCTTTCAAGTACTGGAATCTCCCTAGATCCTCTCCCCTAAGCTTTAAGATCCAGGACCCCCCCCCAACCCGCTCGCCCTCTCCCCAGGCGGCGCTCACCCTTTGTGGGGGCCTGGGTCGGGGTCGCCATGCTGGGCCGGAGCAGGGGGCGGCTGGATACCGAGACGGTGAAGGCGCTGCTGCAGCAGCTGGAAGCTGGACGGACTGATGTCGGGGGGAGATGGGGGGAGCCCTCGTGTTGGGGGGGCCGTAGCCAATGGGGGCCCGGAGAGCCCGCCCCCGTCCCGGCCACCCCCGCCCCCGCCCCCGCCCCCTCCCGACGTCCCCGCCCCTTCCCCAAGGGTGGGGGCGCCCCCTGCCGGGGCCAAGGGGGCGCCCGAGCTTCCGCGCAGAGGGACTGACAGATCCACCAAACGCTGTCAAGAGAGAAAAGCACGTTTTATTGAAGTCTGTGCGGCAGAGAGGAGTCTGTGGGAGCAGGGCAGGGGAAGAGGGCAGTCCAGGGGGCGGTGGGCGCACAGGTGGTGGACATCAGGAGCCAGGGGAATCCTGTGGGGGTGAAAAACGTGAGAGGCAAGAGAGCCCCCCAGCCACCCCATCCCACCCTTCACCCCCTTCTCCTCCCCCCACCCCCCAGCCCAGCCCGAGCTGCAGGACCTGGCTGGGTTCCATCGCGCCAGGTGTCTCTACCGCCTGCGTGTGGACAGACCTAAGGGGGAACACGGAGAGTTCGGGTGTCAGGAGGGGCACCCTAGCTCCTGCAGAGCAGGGAGCAGCAGGGCAACTCCCGGACCTCTGGTTTCAGATCAAGCCCCTCCCTCCACGTGTCTGTCCCGGCCAGGAAAGGGGTTCTTGGAACCCGCCCTCATCCCCAAACACCCGAGTCTCCCCAGACTCACGGCGGATGGAGCTGCGAAAAGTTCCCTCCTCTTCATCAGGTTCCCCAGTTCTGGCAGAAGGAATTGGGAATGAAAAAGGAGAGAGGCAGCCACCCCCATGAATCCCCCAGTGCAGCCCTCATTTCACAGTTCCCCATACTGAGGGCCAGAGATGGGCAAGGAGCAGGCTCGGGGGCCGCCAGAAAACTGGGCGCACCCAGTTGCAGTTTAAGCGGGTGGCCGGGGGTGAGACAAGTGCCTCCCCGAGTGCTGGGGAAGAGCCTGGAAGTTGGTGGAGGATGGGGTGGCGGAAGGACTGGAGGGCAGACAGCCTAGAGACAGCCTAGGCTAGAAACCCAGAACCCTCATCTCTTAGTGGAGTGACTTCGGGCAAGTGACTTCACCTCCATGTGCCTCTGTTTCCTCATCAGTAAAATGAGGTTAATAACAGCACCTACCACACATACAAGGGGTGTGAGGAGTAAATAAGATAATTCACAATAAAACGGTATCTGGCACTTGGGACTAAATATTAGCTATTATTTAAAATCACATCTATAATTGTTTTAACATGGAGAAGGTATTCATACATTGCTTTAAATTTTTATTTAAAGATGAATCAAAGGGCTAGGAACAGGACGCTGAGCTAAACTGGGCCGCCGAGTGCGGTGATCTCATTTCGCCGTGGCTCTTTCTCTCGCCGCTTACCACGCTTTGTGATTTTATATTTGTGGGGCTGCTGGAACCCACGGCCGCCGCCCCCACTGGGCTGGGAGCTCAGCCAGGCAGGGAGGGCAGTTTACTTATTCACCATTTGGTCCCCGGGGCCTGGCTTGGGGCTTGGCACATAGTAGGTGCTTAATACATAATTGCTGAAGGGTCTCTGGCTGCGGGTCCGATGGACTCCCCGCCTCACCCCCAGCGCCCCTCTAGAGCGAAAGTAGATGAGTGAGAGCCTGGAGGGGCCTCTTACCTCTGCTGCTGGTTGAATTTGCACCGGCACCTTCTGCCTGTGGGTGGGGGTAGGAGGAGGACGAGGCTGAGATTCGGCTCCTGGCGTGCACCGAGCGGCGCTCTTGCGCCGGCTCAGGCTCGCGAGGGGCGGGGCCGTGGGGACAGGGGCGGGGCGGGGGCGGGGTAGGCGAGGGGCATCAACAGGGCGGGCTGGAGCAGATGGGCGGGACGGGGGCGGAGATGGGGCGGGGCGGAGGGCGGGGATGGGGCGGGGAGGGGCGGGGCGGCGGGGGTGCGGGGCGGGGCGGGGCGGGGCGGGGCGGGGCGGGGCGGGGACGAAAACCCGCTCCTGCGGGGGCTGGAGGTAGCGGGGTGTGGGTACTCACTCAGCACGATGAGGATACCCAGGATGAAAAGGATCCCGGCGATGATGAGGCCTCCGATCCGCAGGGTCTGGTAGTCTGTGGGCGGCAGGGAGGAGAGTGAGGGCAGGGAGGGGAGGAGGAAGGATAGCAGAGGGGCAGAATGGGGAGGAGGGGGCAAGGAGGATGGGGAGAGGAGAGGAGAGAGAAGGAAGAAGATAAGGGAGGAAGAGAGGGATCAGGGGGAGGAGAGGGTGGGAAGGAAAAGGAGGAGGTAGGCAGGGCACGGAGGAGGGAGGAAACAAGGAAGTAGAGGAGGTTGGTGGAGAGGATGAGGGGAACAGAGAGGGGAGAAAGGGAGGCGCAGGAGAGGATGAGCCATAAGATACTGAGAGGTTAAAGGAGAAAGAGACTCAGAGAGACAGAGAGGGATCAAACAGACGGACACACAGAGACAGAGACAGACAAGGGGAGATCAAAACAAGGAGTCAGAGATCTGAGAGACAAGAGAGAGGAGAGTGACAGAGATACAAACACTGAGTCAGAGAGACAGAGATGGAGAAAGAGAAGAGGAGTAACTAGGACAGGACGGACAAACCCAGGCCATACGTCCTCTCAACTCCCAGGGATAGACACCCCTCCCTCCCTTACCATAGGTGAATGGGTCATGTTCCTGTGGAGCTTCTGGAAAGAGAAAAGTCAGGGGTTGGATGCTTCCTGGGACTCTGGACAGGGACGGACGAAAAGGGACCTTGTGGGGGCTTTACTCTCCTGGGCTGAGAGTCTGGGGACCGTTGGACCCTGAGCAGTCTACCCAACTTCTCTAGGTCTTAGCTGCTTCATCTGCACTGTCCTGGTGGGGATCTTATCCCGTGTTGTCAATGATTCTGTCATCTGAGGGAAGTGGGCCTCCATCCCATGGTCCACCTTTGCCTGACCTAGCGTCAGCCCCCACCCCAAATACTAGCTTCTGACTGGACCCATGTGAAACCCCCAATTTCCTGGTACCCCACTGACTCATTTAGCTTGGAGTCTCCAACTTGGTTCTCTTGAAGGGCTTCCCATCACCCCACCCCCGCCTCCCTTGGGGCCGAGGTGGGTGGTGGGCTACATACCCCAGACTCACCTGCACTGGCCGTGGTGAAAAAACCCACACAGAGAACCAAGATGTGGTAGAGAGGCGCCATTGTCCTGGGGGACACCAAGGGTCAAGAAATGTGTTCCCTCATTCCCCTCACCATTGGGGCTTGAACCCAAGGGATTAAATCAGGGTCTGGGGGTTTGATTTCAAAAGTGTCTATCATCCAGCTTGACCACTGGGAGAAGCAGGGGCACCCCCTGCCTCATCAGACACAGTGTCACCAAAACAAGTCACAGTGGGGGTCGTAGGACACACGGCAAAGGCAAGGGGTAAGATACACATGGTCCACAGGGGCCTCCACAGGCCTGGGCCTCCCCACAGCAGGCCCCAGATGCCCCACACCTACCCTAGGGGAAGAGCAGGATGGCTCGCCCCAGCCAGCTAGAGAGAGACACACACAGACACACACGGTGAGGGGTGAAGGATGAGGGATGGTCCAGCCAGGACCTGAGGGCCCACCTGCCCGCACACCACGGCCTCGCTGTGTCCGTGTAATATCCCAGCTCTCCTGCCCTCAGCCGCTGGCCAGCTCTCAGCCTGACCCTGGGTATAAATATCTCCCACTTCACCCTGGAGGAATTTGCCTCACACAGGCCACCATGGCAACAGCCTTCCTTCCCCCACTCGGGGGTCACGCACAACCCCGCCGGGGTGAGGCCCGGCTGCCACATCGCTCCCGGCTGCCCCTGTGGGAAAGGCCACCCCTCCACGTCTTCTGGAAATGATGAGAATGGGGGGAAAAACATCCCCTCCGCCGGCCTCTGGGTGACATCTTCCACAGGCAGACGCCACCAGGCCTGTGGCATGAGGCCCAGATCAGTGGGGCTGAGAGACAGAAGACAGATGCCAGGGGCAGGGACACACACACACACACACACACACTCAAGCACAGGCAATGGGGCTGGAAAGGAGACAACGCCCATTCCCCAAACTCCTGGTTGGAGCAAGACATGGGGTGGAGACAGTTACTAAAACGATTCTCTTCATCTGAGCTTCCAGTGCCCCTAAACCGTGACGCAATCCGACCTACACACAGGAGTGTCCGAAAGCCACCCCAGCCGGGCCACATGCAGCAGTAGGGGAACGAGGCATTGGACCCCCACACCCACTCCTGGGGAACCCCACCGTCCCAACCACACTCCCTCCCTCTCTGGTCTGGCCCGCCTGGGAAGCCACGGGCTGGCCACTCCTTCTCCCAAAATAGGTGGCCCAGCCAGGCGAGGGGGTGAGGCCTGGAGGGGAGGGCAGGGGACGCTCACCCCAATCAGGCTGTCCCCTGCTGAAAGAAGGCCCCCAAAGGTCCGGCTGTGCCGGGGGTGAACACTTTGGACCCCCTGGCCCAGAGCTGGACTGCGGCCGCCCTCAGCGGTCTCCCCTCCAGCCCCACCCCAGCTTTCCCCTCCCCAACCAGCAGCTGTAACTGGAGCCGGGGCTGGAGGGGGGCCAGGGGGCGGCCCCCAGCCCAGACCGCCCTGGCCCGCTAGGTTAACTCTCTCCGCTCAGATGGAGGAGCAGCAGGCGGCCGGCGTCTCCGGAGAAGGGACGAGTCGGGAGGGAGGACAGGACCATGGACCCACTCACGTGCCCGCACACATGTACCCGCACAGGCATGCACCCACGCTCGTGCCCTGTGGTGCAAGGGTGGGGGTCAGGGGTTTTCTGTGAGGCTCCCTGGGGATTGGGCCCATTCGGCTCCTAAGGTCACCCCCGTCTGAGTGCTCAGGAGCCCACTGACCCCTAACCCCAGTGTTCTGCGGGGACCTGGGCTGCCCCACAGGGCTCTTGGGACATTTCTGTGTGTGTATGTTGTCTGCTGCTGACTGTGAGTTCCCCATGAGCACACCACACACACACACACACACACACTCACGCACGCACACACGCACGCACACATTCAGATAGATGCCATAGACAGACACAATGACCTAGCCACACACGTGTCCACCCTTACAAACGGTCACACTCTTGTGAAGACATACAAACCGGGGGACAGAAACACACCGATACACACACCACATGTAAATGGACTCAGAAGCCCAGACACACAGCCGGCCCTCGTCCGCAGTTTCAGGGACGGGAAGGCTCATACGCCGTGTACATATGGACACAGGGGACGGCACACAGTGCCATGGGCACAAAGAGAAGCAGAAATTCTGTCCAGGACACCGCCCTGCGACCCACCACTCTTACACACAACCCCGAAAACTGACGCACACAAACTGTGTTCGTACCCTCACATGCGGGCCACCAGGGCATAGCAGGCCACTCAGTCATGGGGAGACAGGCCTACACATGTGTGAGGCACCTCCAAACGTGTGTTGATGTGTTTAATCCCAAAACTCCCCTCTCCCAATCTCACATGGCCTGTGAGACTCTGTGGAGGACGACGCACACAGTGTTCTCACCCGCGGGCCGGACTCACAGACTCTGGTGATAGAGAAACCTGGCTTCCGGTGGGAGCTCTGCCATCCTGGTTGTGTGACCTTCAGCAGCCCATGTGACCTCTCTGACATGCCTCAGTTTTCTGTCCCATAAAACGGAGAAATCACTGAGATCATACGTATCGCACGGGGCCAGCCTTAGAGGTCTCTGAACCCCACACAGCCTTATTATTAATTCCATTTTTGGGATGAGCAAACTGAGATTTTAGCAAGATGGAGCTAATTCTCCTGAGGCCCCTGGTGGCTGAGGACAGAAACCGGCCCCACCCTGAAAGGGTCAGATCATGGGCTCAGACTGTGGAGGACACAGTCGGGAGCAGGTGGGTGTGTTCAGACCAAGGCACAGGGGTAGAGAGCCCTGACACACACACACACGCACGCGCACGCGCGTGTACACACACATGCATACACAGAGGACCCACCTCCGAGGACCCACGGGGCTTTGAAATGCCCTCTCATCCCTGTGCGTCCAAGCCCCGGCCCCTCATGGCCCTGCACCCCAGGGCCACCGGCGGTGGCAGTCTCTGGTTAATGATAATCCTGATGTTTATGCAGCCCTGGGGAGGGCTGACAGAGCGGCAGGGAAGGCAAGCAGGGCTGGGGGCACCTGGCCAGCTCCAGCCCGTCCTTGGCTTCTCCCCCTCCCAAGGCCCACTGCACCAGAGTAGAGCAGCTCCACCACTTTCTAACTGGATGATGTCCGGCACCTGACGTAACCACTATGAGGCTCAGTTTCTCCTTCTGTAAAATGGGTATAGTCCCCTCAGAGGGAAATTGGGGTGATTATGTGAAACGGCTAGGGCTGTTAAGTCTCCTGAGTGTGCAGCCCTGGCCAGAGAGGCTGGGTGTGTACTCAGGGGTGAGAGGAGAGGGGTTCGATTTAGATTTGTCCAGGGCCATGAAGGGAATCATTTAACCTCCTCCGGCCTCAGTTTTCCCATGCGCAAAGGACACATCAATAGTATGACCCAGCTCATGGGGCTGCTTGAGAACTGAATAAATTCATGTAAAATCAGGCATGCAGGAAGTGCTCGATGATTATTATTATTGCTATTTCAGGTTGGATAACAAATGTCATTTCTTTATTCTTTCTTATTTAATGGGCAGAATCTATCCAAATTGCTAAAAGCTTAGTCCAAATGAAAATGACCAATATCCAGGGAGCCTGGGTGGCTCAGTGGGTTAAAGCCTCTGCCTTCAGCTCAGGTCATGATCCCAGGGTCCTGGGATCGAGCCCCGCATCTGGCTCTCTGCTCCGTGGGGAGCCTACTTCCTCCTCTCTCTGCCTACCTGCGATCTCTCTCTGTCAAATAAATAAATAAAATCTGAAAAAAAAAAAAAGAAAAAAGAAAGAAAATGACCAATATCCATGAGTTTGGATCTCCCAAGAAGACAAAATCACACAGAGAGGCCCTGGAGCCAGCTGCCTGGGCTTAAGTGCTGGCTCTGCGCCAGCCTGGTAACCCAAATCTCAAATTGACTTGACCTCTCTCCTCAGTGTTTGCATCTGTAAAATAGCCGTATGATAGGATCAATGTCAGAGGGGTGTGATGAGGTCAGCATGAGCTGACAAAGTTTGAGGACAGGGCCTAGTGCAGAGCCAATGCTGAGGAAGGGGGTGGCATCCTCACTTTCATTTTTCCCAGGAGTTGGCTCCTTATCCCAGTAGCTGTGGGCACTCAAGGGGTTAATTTCAGGCCTGGGAGGGAGGCTTTGAATTTGAGGTCTGACAGCTGCCCTGCCGAGTGTGGCCACCAGAGGGAGCAGCTGGATCCCCCCCTGAGACTTGGTGAAGGGGCACATTACACCCTCCTGGGATCCAGAGGAGGGGGCTGGCTGGGCGTGGCCAGGATGTCTCCAGCCCCCCAGGGGTCTCTCCTCCCACCCCTCCGCCTGCCAGCCATCCGGTCCCCACCCTGGTGACATCCTCCTCACACTCCGAGTGGGGTGGAGTGGGGAATCTGGGGAGGGGGCTGGCCGAGAGTGGTCAGGGCAGCTCCAGCCCTTTGTGGCCCCTCCCCTCCCATGGGGCCATCCAGTCCCTTCCTTAGGGCTGCTCTTCCTATGGCCTCTGACCCCCTCCTTCTTAGGCTGCACCGCCGGGCGCACCCAGTGCCCAGTGAGTCCCTTTCCCAAACCTCCAAGGAGAAGAGGCGTGGGAGGAGGAGAAGAACAGGGAACTGGAAAGGGTGGTGAGAAATAAAGACACCAGACAGAGGGATACACACACACACACAGAGGCCAACAGACAGAGACTGAGAGCCTGAAACAGAGACAGAGAGAAACAGAGACCAAGAGACATAAAGAAATAAAGACAGACAGAGAGTGGGAAACAGACTAACTCACTGAGTCAGAAATACAAAAAGAGAGAGAGACAGAAAAGGAAAGAGAAATAGAAAATTAGACACCAAAGCGATACAGGAAGAAAGAAAGGCTGAGAGAGAGACTGAGAAAGGAGAGACAAGGCGGGACAGAGTGTGCCAGCTGGCGGAATGGAGGGTCGCCTGGCACGCCAGAGGTAGTGGCCCCAGCCCGCTGAGCCGGGTGGGCAGAGAGAAGCCGGAGCCTCAGCGGGGGTGAGGGGGCATGGGAGGGGCGGGCGTGCTGCTGCTGCTGCTGGCTGGAGCCGGCGTGGGGGTGGCCTGGAGACCACCAAAGGGAAAGTGTCCTCTGAGCTGCTCCTGCTCCAAGGATAGTGCCCTGTGTGAGGGCTCTCCGGATCTGCCCGAGAACTTCTCCCCGACCCTGCTGTCACTGTGAGTGTCAGGCCCTCCGGGGGCCTGAGGGCAAGGATGGGAGTCCTGGGACCCCAGGGGCTGGAGGCAGGGTGCCGGGGTCCCTGACGAAGCAGGGACCCTTCAGGATCTTGGGAGGTGGGCAGCAAAGGATGTTGGGATGCCTCAAAGGGGGCTGCTGGCATTTGAACAGGAGCCGAAGGGAGACTGCAAAGCCCAAGGCAGCATTTGGGGCCCAAGAGGGGAGGGGGGGAAGGACGGTCGTGGGTGGTGGGGGGAAGCTGAATGTTGCCAGGATCCTTGCCAAGTGAGGAGGGCAAATGCCTGTTTCCCTAGGATGGAAAGGAAAGACATCCGGGGTTGGGGCAGCACACCAGTGTCCCCCAAACAAGAGATGGCTCTGGGGCGGGACCAGAGCACTGGGGGTGATTGTCTCCTCACCCACCATTGCCCACGTCCCCAGCTCATTCGTTAGGACTGGAGTCACCCAACTGAAGGCCGGCAGCTTCCTGAGGGTGCCCACGCTGCACCTGCTGTGAGTGGGGCCCAGCTAAGCCGACAACTAGCTCGAGGGAGTGGGTGGGTGTTCACACAGGTGCGTGGGGGGCGTGTGCACACGTGTGTATGCGCATGTCTGCGAAGGAATCACATGTACCTGTGTGTGTGTGTGTGTGTGTGTGACCACGCCCATGAGGGTGGAGGGTGGGGGTCAATGTTAACATGTCAGAGAGGGGGCAGCAGCAACTCTGGAAAAATCTTTCTTGCTCCCTTGCCAGCCTCTTCACATCCAACTCCTTCTCCGTGATTGAGGACGACGCATTTGCGGGCCTGTCCCACCTGCAGTACCTGTGAGTGAGGCCAGGGAGTGGCAGTGGGGATGGGGGCTTGGGAGAGGAGCAGGGACCCATCTGCAGCTCCAGGAGCAGAGGGAGGTAGAGGCTTATTGGCATGTGGGGAGGTGAGGGAGTCTGAACAAAGGTCCTTCCTGGAGGGGGGTGGGGTCAGGGCTCCTGCTCAGCTGTGTGACCTCAGCCTGCTCACCTCCCCTCTCTGTGCCTCAAGATCCACAAAGGTCCTGGGTAACCCAGGACTCTTTCAGGCCCTCCCTGACATAGCAGAGCCCAGGGAGAGGACAGGGAGGCCAGAGACAAGAAAATATTTCATATGAATGGGAGACAACTCTGAGGAGGTGATGGGGGTGATGGA